ATCCTACACACGACATGCCGACAACCGACATAATGCAGATGACAGAGCGACAAGGGCCGGAAATGGGGGCAGACGCGGTCGGGACGACAGTCGAGAACAAACATGTGCCCGAGACTACGACAACATTGGACGGTGTCAACTCGCCAGAAAGCACCGGACCTGCCCCTGGACGACTAGAATCCTCCAACTTCAACTCGTACGATGCAAACCGGAACCTGCCTCTTCGGTCCTTCACGGCGCCTCTGTCGCCTCTGACGCATCCCAACGGCGTCCCCATGTTCCCAGGCATGTCTACCGAGCAGCAAGTATCGGAATCCACCGAGGCTACGACACAGGCCGAGGGCTCCATCGAGGCAGACAGCGATGAGCTGTCGTCTATATTCGATTCGGACGAGACAAGCTCGTCCGACGGAGGGTACGGAACCGACACCGCGTCCAACGCCAGCACGTCGATTGAGTCGTCGGTCCGAGACTACCTGTACGAGAATGGGCGACGATACCATCGGTTTCGAGAAGGGCAATACAATTTTCCCAACGACGAGATAGAACAGGAGAGGGAGGACATGAAGCATGCAATGGTGAAGCTGCTGTGCAACCAGAAACTGAGCTTTGCGCCGCTGGGCGAATGGCCGCAGCAGATACTGGACATGGGAACCGGGACAGGAGCATGGGCCATTGAGAGTATGCTGCCGAGTGCCGTACGAGGAGGTTTCGTGATGCTGACGAAGGTGCAGTGGGCGACCGGTACCCCGGCGCAACAGTACTCGGTGTTGACCTCAGTCCGATCCAGCCTGAGTGGGTTCCGCCCAACGTCAAGTTCGAGGTGGATGACGTTGAAAGCCCATGGTTGTATCCGGCCAACCATTTCGACTACATCCACTCTCGACACACCGTCATGGCCATCAAGGACTGGCCGGTCCTTTTCCAGAGATCATTCGAGTAAGTACCTGCCTATGGAGTTCCGAATGGGCCGTCGTGCTGTCTAACAACGTGATCGGCAGGCATCTCAAGGCTGGTGGCTGGATCGAGCTCCAGGAAATCCACCATTGCCCCATGTCAGCAAGCAGAAACCCGCTATCGGCAGCGCATCCGGTGGCACAGTACTGGGGTTATGTGTCGCAAGGGCTTTCGAATCTTGGCATCGACCTGAACGCCGCGGCGGGCTCCCGACTCCCCAACATGATGCGAGAGGCGGGCTTCATCAACGTGACGGAAAGGGTGTTCCATGTGCCTATTGGGACATGGCCACGGAACAGAGTGCTCAAGACGGTGGGCATGTACTGGCGAACGATCCTCCTCGACGGGCTGCAGGCCATTGCTCTCGGGCCCTTCACCAGGGGGCTGCAATGGTCGGCGGAGCAGACGGAGGTATTTCTTATGGACGTAAGGAGGGCGTATCACGATACATCGGCGTTGATGTACATGCCGTTGAGAATCATGTATGCGCAGAAGCCAACGAGAGCGTAGGAGGACGGCGAACGACAGAGTAGGGTGGCGCGTTCCTCACTGGTTCCGTGCAGGCTTCAAGACGACGGTCTAGGGATGCTGGTGACAGCGGCGGGGACGGCGATGCTCTGCAAACGGGTTAATGAATGTTGTGTGGTTCTTACGGACGTACGTACGGTACAACCTCGGCGACGGACGCTCATTTCGCACGCCGGCGAAGGGCTGGAATGTCACCGCCAAGGGAGACTAGACCGTATCGATGAAAGGTGCATGATATTGTGTCCGAGGTGGTGAGATGTAAGTAAGGAGGGACGGCATCGGACGAGATTGGGTGAGTAAGCATGTTACTGGCATCCAGCTACCTACATGGGCAGGAGCAACGACTTACCTAGGTAGGTAGTTACTCTCTCTGATACTTTACTTACCCAGGTTCCTCTGATGGGAAGGTACCTAGGTACCATCCATAGGTACGTATCTATCTCGATCGGGCCAAACAGCCCCTTCACGGACCAAATCTCCGCTTAATTACGTTATCATCGCGTATCATTGGTGCGCATCCCTGCCATTTCAATAAGTGCCGAAGTCTTTGTGGGGGAAGAAAGAGGAGCCGCTCATTGTACAAGGTACCTAGGTACTTGCTCATGTACCTACCTACCTAACTTTGTAGACGACCACTTTTCCACTTTACTACTACCCATCCTCTCTACTAATCGACTCGGATCCATCAACTTCCGACTGCTATACCCATGGTTGTCCAGCTTCTTTCAGGCCGAATACCGGTACCAAGAGACCGGCATTGCCTACCGACCTAGGCACAGAACTACGTCGCAGCGCAGGGTGTCATTGGCGAATCGACACGACTCTACAGCCACCCATCCCATTACGCTTGCTTAGGTTGTCTGGTCATTGTTTATCTGCCCGCCCGCCGTCACCTTCCTACACGCCTACAAACTCGGAGTTGTCTTGTCCTCTTCCTTCAACAGTCTCATAATATTTGCCGTCTCGCCATCGCTAATAGCTCCGGACCGGAGCATATGATCGCCCCGAATCGACAAATCCAGAGCGTTCGCCACTCCAAGGGAGAAGAACAATGGGACAAGCGAAGGGCAAAGCCCAGAAGGCAATCCTAGCCCATCGGCGTCGGATACTTTGCAAGGACCGCCGCTAGTCAATATCATCGCAACGATCCAGCACCCCCATCCCAGTTCCGTCACGCCCGCTATCGGGAAGCCAGAAACTCTGGCTGGCCACTTGCCTGGGGTCCATCCCATTCTGAATTAGCTATTAAACAGGGACATGATTCCCCTTCCCAGCCCTTCGGGCCGCTGTGTCTCGGATGCTTCTCGTTCCCTTTTGGAAAATCTCCAATCTGGCACCCTCATCTTCACCCCGTCCTCTGTTTCCTGCTGTGTGACAGGCCCGCAACGACCTAGGTCAATTAACCCGAGCCCGTGTCCGCGGGAACTGTCCGTGCTGCGACAGTTCTGCGTGTCGCCGCTGCTGTGTAACATCCCGCCCGTGGGACTCGCTGTTCGTATTGACGACGCGACGCTGTGAGCTACTGGGGAACTAAGAGGCGCACACCCCGACTTACATGCAGCTTATACATACACAGTGCACTTTCTCAATCTCAACTCACGCTGACCTAAGAAGGACCCCGAACCACGGCTTGAAAAGCAGCAGGCATACTAAGCTGATGCAACGGTTGCAAACATGAACAAATTAAAGCTCGGTGCATGGCTAGGCGCCAGCTCGCCCCTTGATGCTGCCGAGGGCCAAGAGAAGTCGTCGCCGTCAAGGTTTACGCAACTCGCCAAGAAGATAGCGTCGGAAACCGAAAAGCTCGAAAAGTACATGATGGAAAACAACCTACCAATGCCCACCCTGGACCCCAGCGGGCCCAGCGATTTCCCCAAGCTTCCCGACGACATTCAGAAAAGCCGCATGGAGATCATCCACGCGACTAGGGAGCTCGAGGCTCTGGCCCACGGGCCTAGAGAGGATGTCAGATGGAAAGCCTGGAGTGTGAGTGATCCTTCTTCCCCTTTCCTGGATTGCAGACTCTAACCTGCCCGCAGTATCAAGACAGTCTCAGTCTTCAACTTGTGAACCACTTTGGCTTGGGTAAGTGGTGTTATCCCGTTGGCGAGGCTCGGTACTGATGCCAGACAGCGAAGCTTGTGCCCCTCGACGGCACCATCACGCTCGCCGAACTCCAGTCCAAGACTTCACTGGATCCCGTCAACGTGGCCCGAATTCTGCGTCATGTCATGACGAACCGCATATTCTGCGAGCCCACGCCTGGCGTCATCGCTCATACGGCGGCGTCGCGGCTCCTGGCCGAAGACCAAGCGTTACAGGACTGGGTCGGCTACAATCTCGAAGACAACTTCCCTGCTTCTGGACACGTGCTGCAGGCTCTCAAAACATACCCGGAAGCGACGTCACTCACGCGCACCGGTTTCAACTTTGCATTCGACACCGTGGACAAGGAGCCGATGTTTGTCACATTTGGCAAGGATCCTGCCCGCGCCAGGCGTTTTGGCGGCGCCATGCTCAGTCTCACGGGCGGCGAAGGCTACGAAGTCAAACACCTGGTCGACAACTACGACTTCAGCGATATCGACGCCAGAGGAGGAACGTTTGTGGACATTGGTGGCAGCCATGGCTTCGTGTGCGTCGACCTGGCAAAGAAGTGGAGGAACATGAAGTTTGTAGTGCAGGACCTCCCAAAGACGGTCGACTCGGCGCCGAAGCCGATATCCGAGGACGCCCAGGTCGCCGAGCGTATCGACTTTGTCGTGCACGACTTCTTCAAGGAGCAGACAGTCAAAGATGCTGATGGTGAGTGCGAGGCGCCGCTCCTCGTTTGTACGGACAACGACACTGACCGCAGACAGTCTACTTCTTCCGCTGGATCATGCACAACTACTCGACGCCCTACGCCGTCTCCATCCTCAAAAACCTCGTTCCGGCGCTGAAGCCGGGCGCCAAGGTCGTCATCAAGGACCACTGTCTTCGCGAGGCCGGACAGGAGACGCCGTGGGACGAGAGGCTCATCCGCACCATGGACATGGTCATGCTGGCCGTGCTGAACGCGCAGGAACGGAATGAGGCCGAGTATCGGGAGCTGTTCAAAGCGGCGGATGAGCGATACGCATTCAAGGGGGTGACGCGGCCCGCGGGTTGCAGGATGAGCATCATCGAAGCGGTGTGGGATCCGGAGGGCGTCAAAGGGACGGACACCGAGGCTGGGGTGAAGGAGGCATAGCAGCCAGAGGAGGAGTCGGTTACTGGCATGCGACAGAACCTGTTGGACGGCTTGGAGACCTGAACACCTGTTAGATGGCTCAGGAGCCTTAGCAGCCGTAGTATACCGTTACATACAATTTCGTTCTAGACCATCGTCAAGGTGTACGTGCACCTACCTAGGTTCTGATGTTGCCCACTGTCCAGGACCCTCACCCCACATCGTGAGGTGGGACAACCCAGTCGCTCGCGCCAGTAAAAGTACATGAGCAAAATTGCTCCGCATCAGTAACAAGCACCAATCAGGCCTGCTGGCGAAATGGCATCGCGTCAGATTTCGGCTGCTCCAAGTCATACTCTGAAGATTCTAGGTTCGATCCCTAGGTAGGTCGCAAGACAAACATTTTTTTCTGTCGTTCTTTTTGTTTCTGTCGTAGTTTTGCTCAATGGAAGCCAGTGGATTTTGTTTGTATACTTGGTTTTGTACTGTGCGTTCTGTCACGTGGATAGTCTTCACCTGCGGTGTCTCCGAAATGGTTTTCTCTGTTGGAAAAAAAGGTATGCACGAGTTGAATCGAGAATGACGATATCGAGAGTTTTTGCACAGGCTCGGCAGCAAGCTGTTATCTGACTGTCCGTCGCCTACGACAGGAATCGCCCACTGTGAATGTGACGCCATATCGAAGACAAAGGCAGATGGCGAACATGCCAAAAGTCCGATGCCCGCCTCGCACGTCAATACAACCCGATCGCGTTCCTATCACGCACGCTGAACTCGGCCGAGGAAAGGTACTGGTCAGCGGATCTTGAAGTCAGCGGATGCGTCTGAACCATCCCGAAGACACGACACTGGGTCCGTCAATCGGAAGTGCCTCCCGTTCGTCGTGTACGTCGACCGCAAGGCCGCCGTCGACGTCTTGTCACGTCGTGTATTGATATTGCCAACTCCACAAGCATGGCATGTATGAATCCAGAAACTTTTGACCGAGGCTGTTCTGTGTTTGGTCACAACTTTGGTCCCGACCTTCGTCAGACGAATGTCTCCTGCGACGGGACAGGAAGGAACAGGGCGATGGCGATGGCATGCTGCCGAGGCTATCCCATCCACGTATTGCCTGTCTTGTCTCGAACCACAAGCTGCTGTATGCAGTCTTACAAACCACAGACCTGCAATCTGTTACCTGATCTCTTCTTTTTAAATTCCCAAATATCCTACGCTTATCTCTCCCAGCACACTCTACACCGTCTCCAAGTCTTCCTACTAGATTGACATCTTTTTGACAGCCCTTCCACCATGGCATCACTCAGATTACTCCATCACCACACCGATTCCCATCGACCAAAGCTTCTGAAGATTTTAGCGGCGGACAGAACGGCCGGTATGCTGTTCAATCCAGAGAATACCAAAACTTGACTGAAAGTACATTAGCAAGGCTCCGCCTAGCTGTCTACAGACGCTGCCATGTTCTGTCCCAACCTTGGTCCCAACCTTTGTAGACAAATGTCCCTACGACGGGATGACAGAACAGGGTGTCGGACGGAACGAACGGTAGGCTGTCTAATCCATATGGTATCAAAACTCGGCTGAAAATGCACTGACGAGACTCGGATAAAATGTCAGTATCAAGGAAATACCGTCTACTTATCTGTGCAGTATTCGGACCAAGTGGAGTCGGACTGATGCAGAAGGAGCAACCACATTCAACTGCCCACCTCAATATTTGTTGAATATCGTCCTGACGAAAACCCTTTAATAATCCTCTAATCACAGGATAACTCTAACTTGCCGCCGCTCCTCGGCAAGGAGGAGATCAACAGACTCTGCGACAGTTTGCGAAAGAAACTGGAGAAATAAGCGGCCCCAGTTCATCCGGTACATGAATATCAAGATACATGTACGACCAGAGAGCGCCCACAAGGTTGCTGTTCGAATCAGACTTCATTTCAACCATGGCGCGAACAACCTTAGCGGTGCTAGGTGGCCACCTGAACTTGAAAGTCGCCAGCTTTTGCAGGTGTGTAACGGAAATCGGCATTCAACTAGATATATAGGAGATTTACACAGCCATCCAAAGGCCGCAAGATCAGCGAAACTATCACGCTTTTTGTCAAATTCCCTTCTTCCTGTATCCCTTCTTCTTTGCTCCTCCTCATCGTCCCGTTGAACACTCATTGAATATTCAGAAAAAGAGACGGACGAAGGCGACGACAGCACCATGTTCACACAATTTGAGGAGCTGCCAGCAGAGATTCGCGCAGAAATCTGGAACTTGGCCTTTGGCGGCGGTCACGTTGTCAGTAACGAGGCACGTAGACACACCCCAGCAGCTGCCGCCTTGGCAAACAGGGAATCTTGGGCAGAGCACAGGAGACGGGCGTCCATGGTAACCCTCGCCGGGCGCGTCTACTTCAATCCAGAGACGGACATTGTTGTATATTCGCGACTCGCAGACCACCCCACTCGGCTAGGCGACCCTCGGTTGCGGAATGACATCCACCGAAGGTACCGCAGCCACGTCGCGACGACCGACGGAGACAGGCGTTTGGAGCCTCCCCTACTGCCCCGGCCCATCGCCAACCCGCACCCGGCACTCAGAACTGCCATGATCATCACAGGGGAGTCGGGGTACCCGCGCTCCCCTCCGACGGTATGGGAACCTCCCACGCACTATATGAAGGATCTGATTGCCGTCCACGAACGAGATCCGGTCATGAGGCTACCCCGGGCGCTCCTCACAGACTTTCCGGCCCTGGAGACGTTGTGGCGGGTGGGATCCTGTGCCTGGAGCTGTCCGACGCTCAGCTACGACCGCAACACTGCGAAAACGTTGTCCCTCAAGTTCCTTGAGTTCCGATACTACAGCGCGTCCGACCGAGTCATGATTAGGGACATGGCGAAGCCTGCCAGGCTCGAGTTCTGGAGGATCCAGCGGCACATCACACGAAGTCGTATTCAACAGTCGTCGGCTTACAAGGTCGTGGTGGCCATCCGCATCGTCCGTGATAGGGACATGGCCCCCGCCGACATGACGGACGGTTGGAGGATCGTGCAGACGTTCGAAGAGGCGGCGGCGGCGGGACAGGACGAGCTGGGATACGATCTCCTGCCTGACCGGCTTTGGTGGATGATCTTCGGGGGGGAGATTGGTCGCTACATCGGTTAAGGACGTTCAGACGATTCGGATGATTTGGACGATCCGGACTTCATTTTCATCCGAGGGAGAGAGAGAGAATGCAGGAGTTGGAAGGAGCAGGAAAGCCAATGTTGCATGCAGGATTCACGGTCTGGGGAAATGTTGGTTTTTCATTATCGATTAACCATACCTCAAGCTGGAGCAGGCTAGGCGTGGATACGGATGGGGCGAGCCCATAATGCCGCCGAGGACGACTGCCAACTCGAGGGTTGCAATGCCATAAATCAAGAAGGCCCATCTCACGATAACCTCGCATTTAGTCCCATCTCTCAGAATCAGACGGTCATGGGATCAGAACCCTTTCTGTGAAAGCATCGTGAATTGCCCCCCATGTCTAGCTATTCTGATGCCATTTCTATGGTTGCTGATATGCCGCCTGCCATAACATCAAGCCTTCCATAACATCAAGCCAGCCAGTCGTCCTTCTGTGCCTCCTTTGCCAACGTGTCGCTTGCCAGGTCGCAGTGCCATATAATTCTTGCCGGTAAGGCCAAAAGCGGATCAACTCCCTTTGCCAAAAATCATTGAGCGAATGCTGCTGATAACCCGTCAGCTTTCCCGCGCCACCTATGCGTCGGCGCATCAACTCACTTTAAAAAGAAAAGACTCTCAAGAACGCCCGATTTCACAAGAGATGCAAGGACACACTCAGTCGTCGGCCGGGCCGGTCATGAGCTTGAGGTTGCCGACCACGATGGGCGTGGAGCGGGCGGAGGGCTTCCAGAGGGTCTCCTCGAAGGTCATGTGGACTATCTCCCAGACGAGGCGGTGGTGGAACTCGGGGCTGTCGAGGTAGGCGTCCTCGCACTCGACGGCCTCCTTGGCGAAGACGGGCATCCAGTCGAGTTTCTTGTGCTGGTCGTCGTCGTCGTCGGCGAAGACAGGGTTGATGTCGATGCGGACGACCAGGTCTCGCTTTCTGCCGTTGCTCGTGGCGGCGTCGTCGGCGGCGGCGTCGGTGTTGGCCTGCTGCTGCTGATGCTGGTCTGCCTCGGGCTTGTCGCGATCCTCCAAGGCGGCGATGTAGGCCGTGTCGGTGCCGGTGTGGTAGGCGACGGCGAAGGTGGCGGGCGCGCCGGCGGGGAGGTAGGCCTCCTCCAGGCCGAGGATGGTGACGTGGATGGTCTTCACGTTGGGGTACATGTAGCAGTTGAGGTAGACGGCCGAGACCTCGTCCTCGAGCTGGGCCCAGAAGTGCTCGGCGTCGGCGAAGCGGCTGCCGGCGTCCCAGCCCTGGGTGGTGATGCGGACCGTCTTGACCAGTGCGTTCTTCTGGGCGCCCAGGTCAGGGGCAGAGAGGGACTCCTGCGCGGCGGCGGCGGGGGACAGAGTCATCTGGTGGCCGATGGAGACGTCCTCGGTGGCGGGCTGCGAGGCGGCCTGCTCTCCCTGGACGGGGAGAGACTCGGTGACGCTCATGGGGGCAGGTGTCTGCGTGGTGGGGGAGACGGGGGAGTCGGTCTGAGACATGGATGCTCGTGTTGAGCTTTGCGCGGGGTTGCAGGGTATGTGAGCAGAGGTCGTGTCTGTCTGTCCTAAAGAGAAGAGAAGAGCAGGAGATGGGGAAGGAAGAAGAGGTCCAGAGGTCCTCGAGGATTCCATATCTGGGAAAAGGAATCACATGATTGGGTCTGCTTAGTCGTGGGTCGCTCTCGTCTGGTTGAGTCACAGAGATGCGGGCTTGCTTGGTCGCAAGTTGATGTCATCTGGTGAACAGAGGGAATCTTGGGTTCGTTTGGTTGTGCAGATGCTTGCGTCTGGTGGAGGAAGCAAGAGCCTGAACATGCTCAGTTACAAGATGCTTCTGTCCGGCGTGGTCACAGATAAGGGTGGAGTATTGCTTGGTGATGAGGTTTTGTCTAGTAGTTGAACATGTAGGCTGTTGTTGATCGTGTAATTCTTTCTCTTGGTGATTTAATGGACACGTTCCTTTCGTCTGTTGGTTAGACAAGAGGCCATGCTTTGGTCAATTGTCAGTTGCTTTCAACATACTTTCAGCATGCAGTTGGGTGGTGTTTTAGTATGTGACTTTGTTTAGTAGTTGAAAAGAAATTTGGGCTTTTCTTAGTTGCAAAATGGGGGGTTCCAGTGCTTCAACGCAAAGTTGAAGGTAGCTTGGCCGCGAGGATAGATAGACTTATGCGTTGCTCTCGCCTCATGTGCGAGGGAAACTGCAGACTATTGAAGGTAGTGTGCCC